GGTCCGCCGGCCGCGCGGGGCGGGGGGGGGGGGGGGGGGGGGGGGGGTTAAATAGAGCGGCTCGCAATAAATCTGATGAACCTGGCCCCCACTGAGCAGCACTTAAAAACACAAACACACGTAATCAGAAAACACAACAACAACACACTGCACCTCAGTGGTGTGTGTTCAAACAGTCGGCAGGGGCTCAGGGCAAAATGGACGTCGGAAAACTGGAACCGACCTTGGAATTTGAGTTTGTTTTTACATCAGACAAAAGTGACGTTTGAGTTTAGACAAAGGTAAAAGGTTCACTTGAACTAATCAAGAGTTGACTAAAAATATAACACAATAGTTAGAGGTTAGTCAGCCGAGACCATACGATGACTGGACTTTAGATATGCTTCAGGTGGGGGGCGCTGATGAGCTGTTTTTATAAGCCAGTAAATTTATTTCAAAACTTTTGCGAAATGCAATCGATTTTTATGGAAAAGGAAATTTTATGAAATGAATTGAATAATCTGTTTATATTCTGATGAAAATATTCCTCATCACATATTTTCTTGTACAGTTAAACATCTGTGTTTTTAGTCGTGCTATAATCAACACAGTGTTCTCTAAACAACCTTCCAAACCTGTCATTTCTTCAGTTTTTTCCTCCCTCACATCTTTTGTTTTTTCATCTTTTTCCCTCCTTTCTGTGACTAATCCTGTGTCACCGTGACTCCGGCTGTTGTGTCTGTGTGAAGATAAAAAAAAAAAAAATCCTTTTAAAATGCTGCAATTTTTGCCTTTCTTTCTTTTCGTTTTTTTTTTTCTTGAAAATAGAAGGCAGTAATTTTCTGCCATCAGGCGTGGAGGGGAAAAAAAAAGAAATTGGCCTCGTAAAAAACTCTGGGACTTGACAACTGATGTAACCTGCAATAAGCTTGTTGTGAATACCTGCTCTGATTAATGGGACGCGGCCTCAGTAGGTGGCGCTCCGCAGCACAGGCCATTAGAGTCATCTGAGCAGCTGCCTCTGCTCACCATCAGGGCCTTGTTAGATCCATAATATTATATTGATACTGAAGTGAGGCCCAGAGCAGCCGGTGCAGGGACATCTGCAGGGACAAGAGAGATGGAACACACAGACTGAACTGGTCAGTGACAGTGACCACACTGACGGCACAGACAGACCACAACCAGGCATCAGATGCACCACAACAGTGGATTGACTGTTGAGTTAGTCATTGAATATTTGAAGTTTGAAGTTTGAAGTTCAGGGGTTGGACGTCAATTTTACAGATGTGCAGATTTGGTACATATTTATGTGAAGGTAGAAAAAAAAAAGATACTTTGTGAAAATAAATATGACGGGACTCTTATTTTGAAATGACCAAAGCGTAAAACCAATGTTTTCTGCTTTGGTTGATTGACTTGACAGGTGGAGTAGGTTCATCAGATCATCAGTAACAGTTCTCTTCTTCTGTGGTGTCCTCAACGTCCAGGATCATCAGTAACAGTAACTTCTTCTGTGGTGTCCTCAACGTCCAGAGGGGAGGAGGTTTCACAACACATGTTCAAAACCAACAACAACAACAAGTGAAGTCCAGTTTAACCAGCCTCAGTGACCAGTGTTCAGTGACCAGTGACCAGTGTTCAGTGACCAGTGACCAGTGACCAGTGTGTTATGAGTCTGCAGTGGAAGTAAAGTGCATGTGAGCGTGGAGCCACTGTGGAAACCTGCTGGAGTCCAACTCCGCTGACGGCTCCGTCCCTATAAATACACACTCACAGCTTCAAAGGGTTGGATGAATGTACACAACAGTAGAACATACGACAGAGACAGGATGTTGAAGAACCCACCGGGGTCAGAGGTCTAGAAATGTTCCACTTCTTCTTCTTCTTCTTCTTCTTCTATCCATCCATCCATCCATCCATCCATCCATCCATCTTGCAGCATCCGTCAGTGGATGATGAAATTATTCAATATACTGTGAATGTTTTTCTGTCAATGTGTAAAAATGAAATTATTATTTTAAAGAAATTAGTTACTGTGGTTAACCCATTCATTTTGAGAGCCCTGATGTGCATATATAAGTGTGTGTGTGTGTGTGTGTGTGTGTGTGTGTACTGCTTCATGTTCTGTCACGATTCATACAGTATTTATAAATAGCTGTGAGACTCTTCTTCACGTCCCACTCTCAACTATAAAAACTCTGCAACATCTGTGCAAGGAGCAAAAAAATGATATTTGAACTGGTGTGTTAATAATATGCTTTTAATCAGTTGAATATGTGTGTTTTTTACACATGTAGCCATCCTGGGAAAATGAGTTTTAATGTGAAATAGCGTGTTTACATTGGATGTTAGTGTCTGGAGCGTCAGCTGTAGCCAATATGAACCAACAACTGCAAATGAAAAGGCCATTAGAAACGACAGTGTCTTCTGCTCCAGTGGTTTTTACGCTTAAGTGCAAACACACATGGACACACACACACACACACACACACGGCTAATGTCATTGTATCCATCATGCATCGTGTTTTTGTTACCATGTTTTTTTTTAAGCTCCAGGGACCTGAGTTGAACCTCTGTCTTCTGTGAAATGAAATTTATTCAAGAAGATTCAGCTCGGTGTAAAAGACAATCACAAATGAAGCTGTAGCTGTAGCTGTGGCTGTAGCTGTGGCTGTAGCTGTAGCTGTGGCTGTAGCTGTAGCTGTAGCTGTAGCTGTAGCTGTGGCTGTGGCTGTGGCTGTAGCTGTGGCTGTAGCTGTGGCTGTGGCTGTAGCTGTGGCTGTAGCTGTGGCTGTAGCTGTGGCTGTAGCTGTGGCTGTAGCTGTAGCTGTGGCTGTAGCTGTGGCTGTAGCTGTAGCTGTAGCTGTAGCTGACACGTCACTGCTGAAGGAGGTCACACAGACTGAAACACATCCTCTTGTTCTTCCTCTCTCTCCTCTTCAGATTGAGGACATAATCACCCGCATCCAGGACGAGACGGACGGCATTCCCATCAGGACTGTCAAGAGCTTCATGACCAAAATCCCCAGTGTTGTCACAGGTAACGAACCAAGTAGAAGAGGAAGGTGTCACGTTGTTGTCAGGCCGGGTCATAGTTTTCGGTGACCTCTGTGACCTTTGCCGGGTCCTAGTTTTCGGTGACCTCTGTGACCTTTGTGTTATATAAATAATGGTTAATTGATAGTTTTGATTCATCGTGAATTATGATGTTACTCGATGTAAATTTGAACTGGAGTTTGTCAGGTTTTTGTTTGAGAAATGGCCAGGACTGAAACCTATGACCTTCTTGCAGTAAAGCAAAAGTGCTAACCGCCTCTTCTACCATGTTGTGCCTTCTGAACCTTAAACCCAGCTCAGATCCAGTGGTGTATCCCAGCAGGACAGTATAGAACCCTAACTGTTCCACGTCGTGTCACATAAACTCCATTATTCATGTCATGAACGATCACATGGTTTCCTGTGATCAAAGTTTGGTCTGTGGGTTCATTAGCATATTGTTGTATCTCTCTGTTCTTTAGAACTTCTAACCCTAACCCTGTGTTGTGCAGAAAGCAGCGTATTAAATCAGACCGATCTTGGTTCACTTCCTAAATGGCTCTATCGCTCCAGACACACGTGAACAAACGAACAGAGGAATCAAACAAACTCCAGTATAGGACACATCCAAACAGAAAACGTGAGGACGCGCCTTCGTCTGCCTTCTCAGCAGCCTGTCTGAGTCTAACTGACAGATGGTTATGGGTTCTATCCATTAAACCAGAGGCCGTATCGATTCTGTCCGCTAACTCTCTGCTACAAGCTAAATAATCTTTTCAGAGACTTGGATTTAAAAAAACCAAAACAAACTTTTCCTCTGCAAAACCTGAGAATGTTCAGTGAGTGACTGGTTAAATTACTGTCATCAGCCTTGACAGATGGAGATAAGAGTTGGAGAAAAGTAGTTAGCTGAGTCACACTCTCGTACCTGGAGTGTTTTGTAGCTGCATTTCATTACGACTGTTTCAAGGCTGATGCTGCTGCTGCTGCTGATGCTGCTGATGCTGCTGATGCTGATGCCACGTCTTCTGCCCTGAATCACTGCAGAAAATGTAAAAACTGGAGGGAAAATGAGAGGACAACACATGATTAAATGTGTGGATGGGGGAAGAAAAAAAAGAAACGTTCAAGAGTGTGAATCAGGATGAGTAATGTCGTCGTACTACCGACAAGGTGCCCTTGGGCAAGGCTATCAACCCATGAATACTTCACTCCAGAGTTTGTTGTGTGGGAAAGTGTAGGTGTGAATCACTGCAACGAGAAACTCCTTCAAACTTTAGAGATAAATAAACACTGTTGGTAGAAAATTAAAAGGAAAAAACATCTATACATACTGTATATATGTATATATATATA